TGTTGTCCCCCTGTAGAAACAACCTTTGCCACGGGCTCCTCTCCCGTACAGGAACACTTAGCAAAAATCTAAACTGATTCATAAGTTCGAAAGTATTTCTCAACTAGAACAGGTCAGAAATACTTTAATCCATCTGTTCCCGCATGTTATTTACAAGCTCAACCCACAGAAACCTTCTCTTTTAATCGCATTGGTAGTATCACGTCACGTGTACTGTGTATATATATACGATCCATCATCATTTATTTTCAAAAACCCTTCCAAGTCTTTAGCCATTAATTAAGATTAATATTAATAATATTATGAGATTGGCAGGTCATGTAGCTCGCACGGCGAATAAGGGAAATTCACAAAACATGTTAGTCGAAAGAACTTAAGATAAGGACCAATTTGGAAGTACAGGAATAAAATTTAGGATAATATTAAAAATTATTTTAAAGCAAAATGTAAGAGGATGTGAAATACACCCAGCTGGATAGTGACAGGCTTTTGTTAACACATTAATGAACTTCTTCATATGTTTCGTACAGGATAGTTTGTTTGTTTGTTTGTTACTTGTATGATTACTTTGTCAATTGTGTTAAGTAACGCGCTGAATCACAAAATTCCTGTGTTTCAATACAAGTTTCAGATCAGTACCGTATTTCGTAATGTATTACAATGGCAAGAGAAATTAGAACGCGTTCAAAAAGCGTTAATGTGGTGAAAACCACTGGAACATTATTACCCCATTAATATTACTGATCGATGCGTTTGATGTGAATTAGTTCAGTTCATATTCACTGTACAGAACAGCCGATGTTTTAGTGGTGAGTTCAATGATGAAACAATTTAATAATAACAGATACATGTTATAGATAATAGCAATGTTTTACAAATAATAAACCACGCAATTTTATCACGACTTTAATTCTCTGAGTCACTGCTGTCAAAAACAAATCGTAATCCATAAATACCGTATCACTCTGACACACGTTTACACACAACATAAAACCCAGCACAATCCCTGGATGATTATTTACAACTGACAGATTGGCCACAGTGTTCTATTCTGTTAATAAAAATGCAGACACTAAAATATACAGAATGATTTAAAAGTTGCTCGACCCAATCCTGATACATGTTCTATTTAAAAAAAATCGGTAATTTTCTTACGATAAATAAATCAAGAGAGACGAACACGTAATATACATCGCTATATCTCGGAATTTCATATAAAATTTCAGTCAGAAATGGAATGAAATGTAAAAAAACACTTTTCAGACGTAAGATTGATTATGATTTTAAAACTGGTATTGACTTTGAAGCCGAAGCTCGACCTAAATAATATTTAAGAATTCAGTCCGTACCGCGAAGAAAACACCACACTTCACCATTACAAAGATCGACTTGTTAACGCTGTTTAAGGAAATAATCGCTGTTTATTCTGATAATTAATTAACCCTTCGAAGCCGAGGCTCGTCTAAATAACATTTAAGAATTCGGTCCGTACCGCGAAGAAAACACTTCTCTTCAC